CTCAAAATTATTTAGTTGAACTGAATAAAATCTAGACGGAGAAAGCAATAATCATATTTTGGTAAGGCCATGCAAATACGATAATATTCTAAATCAGAAATTTCAACACTTTCACGATACTACCATTGTGGTGCATGGTGAGACAATACGCTAAAATTCAAGAATGTCAAATTTGTACTATTTCATTTAAACTATGAGGTAATATTTTACGACTATTCTACAACGACTTAATATAAACTAGTATTATTCATAATTGAAATTCAACATAAGATTGGTACGTGTCGTGTAAGAAACCTATATATGTCATAGCTTTAGACTATATCATTGGAAATTTGTGTTGAAAATATAATTTAGACAAATAAATAAGGAGAAGTAATTTCTCAAATTTGAAACGATGTGTCGGCTGGAGAAGATACGCGCAGTTTCCACCTCATTGGGCGATTTGAATGATTCAGTCTTGCAAGTCCCCATTGACTTAAGCAGTTCTGTCTAATTGAACGTTCAAATCATCCATTAATTACTCTTATCTGTACAAATTAACAGTCATGTTTAAACCCCTTTAATTAACTAGCAAGACCATGACTTTTTTTTTTTGTTTTTGGGGGAAGACCATGACTTACTTTTTGGTAATCCAAATGAATAGGAAAGATTACTTGTTTGAAATTATCGTACTGCACTATGATGTTGTATTTTTAAAGTGCATGAGAATGAAATACAAAAAGAAAAAGAAAAAAGAACTTCAAAATAGTGACGGATTAATCTGCTTCTTGAATCTTATGGCGCCAGTTGTTTTTCGTCAAATGTTTTCATAGTCAATCATAAATTGATTTTATTAGAAGTTTAATGAGCCCGTCATTTAGCTCTATTTGTGTTTTTAGTCAGAAGGTAGAATATATATCATTGTTATATTCATGGAGTATATCATTTTGCAGCAGACTTATGTTTTATTTTCAAAGCAAATGGGAAATGACTTATGTTTTATTTTCAAACATTGCATTTATTTCTGGCCACTCACAGTGTAATACTATATTGAGTTCACACATAAAAGGGAGAATTTTGAGTTCAAACAAAATGGAAAAATATACACTTAAATTACTATGTGAATATATACAATCACAGCTATTACACCTTCAGAATTAAGATACTTTCCCAAATATACTGCACCTTTTTTCAAAAAAAATAAAATAAAATAAAATAACACATGATGTTTTTTTTTTTTAAATGAGTATCCATTAATCGCTCATTAATCAAATCGTTGTTTAAAAGTGTAGATTCAGATATTCCCGTATTAGCTCTATATTTTTATTTTGAATGCGAAGTAAATACCCAATTAAAAATGACGTGTATTGACTGAAACTTTCTATAACGAAGCTAAACACTAGTGTCCATCAATAAAAGTTAAAAGTTTGATTATTTGAATGAACGGACCACCTAATTTTGCAAGTTACAAGCATTTAGGACAACAAGATCATCCTCAGGAAGGCCAATTGGACCAGGTGCTGAAGAAAATCTTTATTTTCCATCCATGGAGAATGTTTTGGATTAATTTAAACTAGCCTACAACAACCCTTTGTTTCCCTTTAATCTTGAGGTCTATTATTAATGCTTCTCCTGCGGCATTTTCCCAAAAGACAAGGTATCTTGAGTCTATAACAACAATGCCTAATAATTTGACATAAACTAATAATCCGCTTCCTCATTAGTTCCGTGCAAGCAAAGCTCTTGATAGAAAGGGAATGTTTTCCGATTTGCTAGTAAAATCAGCTGCTAGTTTTTTAACCATATACATATATTTGCACCAATTCTTTATATTTTATCTTTAATGGATGCCTATTCATCACTTGTTAGTGTACTCAATTTGCACTAAGATTGCTGTGTAAATGTACACATTCACATTTAAAAGACCTAACATTTAAACACTGCGCTAATTTATCTTCAAGTTTTTAAAATTTGAGACTGAGTGCTTCTTAGACAAAACCCAATATTATTCATTACAATAGTTAGAGAGGATAATAAGCCATTTATATTGATAAATATACATATTTTAAATTATTAATCCATTTATATTCGGATCCGGGTCTAATACGGGTCGGAATACTATATTCCGTATCCGACCCATTTTTTTGTTTGACAAAACGGATCCGGATCCGAGTCTGGGTAATGGAATTAAATCCCTACCCATACCCGCAATAATTTCACGGATCCGGGCCGGGTTCGGGTCTAGACCCGGCCCATTGACAGGCCTAGTTGGATGACTGGATGAAGGGCTAATTCTACTTTGCACCCTTAATTATACTCACTTTGATTTCTAAACTGTAAAATGAAACACTTTAGTACGTAAAGTATAAAATTTATAACATTTTAGTACCTAAAATATAAAACCTGACGCATTTTAGTTTCTAAATTATTAAACCTGTCCTACTTTATTCTTAAAAGTATCACATTTATCTCACTTAAAATATAAAACCTGCCTTACTTCTGTCAATAATTTTACTTAAGTAAGATAAATTGAATAACTTAGAGGTTGAAATGTCTCATTTTAGCTTGTAATGAGTGGTAATTAAGGGACACAACGAAGATGAAAAATTGATTGTTGTAATAATCTTTAAACTTAAAAGGAGAACTGACATCATCTTATTATTGAAGGACTACAATTTTTGCAACATTTTGGGACCATACAGTTTCTGTTTTTTTTTTTTTTTTTCGCTTAACATTCTTTGGCCATGTTGTCCTTTTCTCCCTTTAAATAATGCTAAGTAATGCTAATCAAATTGAATACCTCATTCTCAAAATTTTAACGAAATTTGGCTTTTCAAACCACATTTTTCCATGTATGTTTGCGAACTTTTCAAATTGTGTAATCAAGAAAGGAACGAACTTAGTAAGTATTTTTGTTAGTCAAAATTTTCAAAATCCCTATACTCCTTTTCTGGACCAAGTTCATATGTATCAAGCAAATAATAATCTTTAGCAACCACTGGGCAATGGCTCAGTGGCCACTAGAGGTGTCAAAATGGGTGACTTGGACGGGTTTGGGTTGGGTAAAATGGGTAATGGGTATAAGTGACTCAACTCATTTATACCCATTTAATTAGATGGGTATAAATGGGTAAGTCAAAAAATGAATTGAGTAACCCAATTACCCATTTATAACCCATTTATTTTAACTTTTTGTAAACTCATTTAAATTCATTTTTGCAAACTAAGTTATCAATTTATACCACTCTTTGTACCCATCATTAGTTTTAAATATTTATTTATAATGTTTAATAAACTTAATTACCAATTTTTTTTCATTTATACTCTATGTCACAAAATTACCTATTATTTAATAATTGAATAATAAGAATATAAAAATTTGAACTAAGTACTATAAAAATTAATATAAAAATTTAATCCAAAAATTTTGAACCCCTAACATTTTTTTCATATATAAATTTAAAATTTCATTTTAGAAAGATAAGAAAATAGGCTAAAATTTATCATAAATTAGTAATGCTGAAAAATGAGCAAGTTAACAAACTTAGAGAAAATAAAATAATAAGATAAAATCAACAAATGATAATAATAATAATAATAATAATAAAACAAAAGTAGTTAACATCATGACAAAATGAAAAATTTGAAAAAAAAATAGGTGGAGGAAAAGAAGAGACTTGGGAGGAAGAGAATTCTAAATGGGTTAATTGGGTTTGATGGGTTATCCAATAATACCCATTTAATAAATGGGTATTATTGGATAACCCATTTACACCCATATATAAAAATTTAAGATACCCATACCCATCTATTCATGGGCGGGTATGGGTAAATTTAATTAAGTGGGTTGATTTGCCACCTCTAGTGGCCACCAGGGAGGGATTTCCCTCCTTGGGCTGTAAGTGAGGGTTCGAACTTCACCAGCAGCGAAAAAAATCTAAGGGTTGTACCATAGCACTTCCTTGATCTAGTTGGGTCTGTACACCCACTAACCCCTACAGCAGCCTCCTTAGGCTCCCCCTCCCCCTAGATTATGATAGAGTAGGTTATGCAAATACATCGTTACTGACAAAAAAAAAAAAAATCTTTAGCCCTGTTTAATCAACTGGCATAATTGAACAATATTGACATATTCTTCGCAGCTTTTAAAAACCAGCAAGTTTTGAGATTTCACTTCCTTTTTTGGACCGCACGTCAGCTTTTTAGACCCGAACTTTTTAGGTCAAAGTCCAGCTCCATTTGTTTCAGGAAATTAAAATAGAACAGGAAAAAATTTACTTTAGTGCGTAAGAAAACCTCTGTATTTTCTTGCTTAAATGTGTTGGTTATATATTGTCTCACTCAAATTAAGACGTATTGAATTGATCCATATGTTAAAACTATTCTTTAAATACTCGACCAAGTAGAAAAACAAAAGTTAAACTTGAGAGACGAGTTTTAGATTACAACAATTTCATCCTTTTTAATCGAGCTATCATGTGTAACACGTATTCACTAATTTGTATGAACATACATGAGTTTGATTAACTTCACATGTATATAATTCTTCTTCTTTTAGTTCAAGTAAGACTCCAAACTTTATACGGAAAAACATATGCATATAATTCTGGCTAAAAGTTGGGGAATACACGGTAATCCTTCAAATTCACGTTCACATTGCTATGCAGATGCATGAAATCTCAAACTAAAAAAGATCTATGCAAGTTAACCAGTCATCCCTTTCGCTGTTTCAACCGTCTCTTGCCCTTTTGATATCTGTGTGAAGCCAAGAATGCTAATAGAATCTTACACACCATACACATCTAGACAGAGCAGTCAAAGTTTGTTGCTGGGCCAGCCATGTATACAAGAAAACAACAAAGGGAATGAAATTTCCTAATTTCCTACTGGTATCTTTCTCTTACCAAGTCTTGTCTTTTATTCAACTCTTTACATTTTCCAGCCTACTTTGTGCTGAATAATAATATAAGGAAACTATATATTAACTCATCAACATTCTCAAATTCAACGGCTTTCTTCTATTCCTCAGCAGCTTAAAATATTTTCTAAACTTGAACATTATTTTTTTCTCTCCCTCTCTCTCTCTATCTTTCTCCCTCTCCTCATCAATTAATGCTTGGAAGCATCAAGAACTTGATTTCCATATAGAAAACAAAAGGGCAGAACGAGAAATGACAGAAGGAATCGTGGAAAGGGCTCTTAACAGTTTGGGCAAAGGATTCGATATAACATCTGATTTTCGACTGAAATATTGCAAGGGAAAAGAAAGGCTGGTTTGGCTTAATGAAAGGGAGACGACAGAACTTCTTGTACCGGGATTTGGAGCCTTCAGAGATGTCTCAATTGATATCAAGTGTGATAAAGGTGATCGAACTCGATATCAATCCGATATCCTTGATTTTAGCCAGGTAATTCTTCTTCTTCTTGTTATTGATTTCATCAGATTTTGTCAGAACTCTGAAGATAAGCGTGTTCGGACCAGAGTATTAAAATTTTTGGTTTTACTAGAATTCCTGGTTTCAACAAAATTGTTGCAGATGTCAGAGTTTTTCAACCAGAAATCCTCAGTTCCTGGAAAAGTACCATCAGGGATGTTCAACTCAATGTTTGGATTCCAGAGTGGCTCATGGGCAACAGATGCAGCAAATACAAAGTGTTTAGGCCTTGATGGCTATTTCATTATACTCTTCAATGTCCACATTGATCGGTATCCTCTTGTTCTTGCTGACGAAGTCCGGAATGCTGTTCCTTCCACCTGGGATCCAGCTGCTCTTGCAAGGTAATAATCCTTACACTTCTGCATCAGTGTTACACGCTAGCCTGTTTTTTCATGTTTTTGTGGTTCTTGAACATGAAGCATAACTATGAAATCTTAAAAATCTGGCATTATCCTTAAATTTTTATGCATTATTTTCTGCAAACTGCTTGCTATCTAGTTAACATAGCATACCCCATCCAATCCCTGCAATAATGAGAAAAGCAAGCAAAAAAGAAAAAAAAAAAAGAAGAAGAAAAAGGGCCATTTTGGTGGAGAGGGGTGTAAATTATTTTGATGGGGCTAAACAATAACTTACCAATAAGATGGCAGTACAAATTTAGTTTTTTTTTTGGTCAATAAGTACAATTTTAGTGTAGGATAAAAGTTTCTCTTCCAAATTTCTTGTCAAATATAAATGTATATGTACTACTTTGAAAGGTGCACAAATATCAATATCAACTTTAGATAATGAATTTAATATTTTGGCTCTCTCATCCACCAAAATGGAGCAAAAGGGCATTTATTAGTTTACCAATGGAAGAATGGGCACAAGAAAATTGATAGTAATGTGTAGTTAATTGGCAGTTTTTTTTTTTTTTGGTCAAAAGTTAATTGGCAGTTAAATGGGCAATATTTGGCATGGTTTGGTTGGTGTCTGACACCATACCTTTACCTCATCCACACTCAAAAAAAAGTTGACCTAAAATGGCAGGTATTCATGCAAATAGCTAAACTTGACCAAGTCAATAAACTTTTCCAGTAATTTCGGTTGTTGAAAAAAAAAAAACTTTTACACAAATAAAATATACGTGCCTTTGTTGCACCACAACTAACATATATGCACACAATTAATGTATACTTTTTCAATTTATAATTGGGTATATAGTCCTTCCAATTAAGTCATCAACATCTATTACAAAATTCCTCTTCCTTTTTTTCTGGGGAGATCAAGAATATTCCACGTAGAATCCACCCATAAAGTCAGCAAAATCGACGGCGAATACCACAAGTTGCTTTCTCAACATGATAGGCTGGATAGCAGCCAGCCAGGGCTTTTGGTACACATGCTAAAAATCTGGTGGCTATAATTTTCCACAGGGGAGAGACCTTTAATCAGTTCATCTCGTTTACAAGAAATTAATGAATGAGGCGATTATTCTGCCTCTTCTTGTATTTGCTAACAATGACCTGAAGATAGCTTCTGCAATGGTCAAGAGTTAGATTTGGTAAAAATTCAACAACTTTGAAATTTGCTTCCTTGGTTGAAATTTGGTAAAAGATTTGGGATAAAGAATTAAATATTTGCTACAGAAAATTAATTAAAAAAAAGGTACGTCGATCAATGAAAATAGCTGCAAATCACAAAACATCCTCTAAACATCGTTATGAATTTGGTCAACATTTTGTCTAACATGATAATATCAATTATGACTATTTTCCCCTCCAACGTCCAAATCCAAGAGGAAAAAAAAGGACAACTAAATTTGGCCAGGAGAAATGACTTGCATTTGGCTGGTAGATGCTATTTTTATCGTGTCTAAAAGTGATTAAAACCTCTACTTTTTCTTTTTTTATTTTTAAAAAAAAGTGAATAAAATCATTGACGATATTGTACAACAATGGAAGGTTATGACACTTAATTGAGATATTGATGACAGTTTATAAGTAATTATAATGATTAATTGTTGATGTTTGACAGATTTATTGAGAAATATGGTACCCACATTATTGTGGGACTAAGCATAGGTGGGCAAGACGTGGTGCTAGTAAGACAAGACAAATCTTCTAATTTGGAACCATCTCAACTCAAGAGCCACTTGGATGTTCTTGGAGATCAGCTGTTCACTGGGGCATGCAGCTTCTCTCCTCATCAATTGAAAACCAGAGAACAAAAACAAAAGGTTTCTTAAATTTGCTCAAAAACTAATTTCTCACTTCCTCCATCTTGATATTTTTCTTGGTTAAAAACAAAAATTACCTTACCATCAAGCTAGGTAACTCCGTATTACCCTCTTATAAAAACATGAAGACAGTTTTTTTTTTTTCTTAATGTTTTTGATCAAACAGCACTCTTGCATAGCTTTTATATTTGGAAGTAATATTCGATAGATATCTGGTTTTCATAACAATGAAGTGTAGTTCAGATGGTAAGACGTTTTACTTAATCATGATTGATCTTCTTTAAAAAAGGAGGGGAAAAAAATAAGATGTCTAGTTTTCATGGTGAAAATCTTGTAATTTGTCTAGTTTTCACTAATAATCATCTATTAATTTAACATGGTACTCTGAATACAGGCACCTCAGGCTTTCAATGTGTTCGATCCACATCCTAACCCCTTCAACAGCTTCTCATCAATCACAACGAAAGATGTAGGTTCGGTTCATCATTCAGTGATATTTCTTGTTCATTCATATCTACATATTGGGTTGCTGTTGTTGAAATTAATGATCGAGTAATCTAATGTTTGATGCCAAAATATTTAGGCATCAAGAATAAAGAAAAAATAATCTAAACAGTATACCATTTTTATGTCCCTAATAATTGTGCCATGTCAACTCTTCCACTGATTGGTCAACTCGGTGGTTGTGATCTTTTATGGGGAATGGGGCACACTTGGTCCAAGAATTCATGTTACCATGTGAAAATTTGACCTTTGGTGAATCTTAATGCTTAAATGGTAAATTGGGTTAGTATTCCTAGAAACTTCAGGTGTGGTAAGCAATTTATAATTTTTTTTTTCCAAAATTGCATTCTATTCCCATGACTATTTTCTTCAAGGATCACTCACAATTTTGCTAGAAAGAAGTGAATTCTCAAGGTCTTGAATGAACAATCAGGTATTTGAATTCTTCAAGACTCCATAAGGCAGCTAATGTGGTGGTTTCTCAAGGTTATATAACAGTGAATTGTCTGACTGGTCTTGGAACAAAAAATTATTAGAGTCCGATAAGCATGGTCAGAAATATGACTGTAACAGGAGAAAACTCTTAGAGTTTTTTTTACGGTCAGATTCATGGTTCGAACCTGACAGTTAGGAATAAGAAAGATGAGAGGATTAAAAAAAAAAAGAATGGTTGGAAAAATGCGACACACTAAGGAAAGTTTTAGTATGTGAAGAACAGAAATGCACCTTTGGAGCATTAGTTCTGAAATCTGAGGTTATCTTTAGTCTGGTCCCTTTAAATTTAGAGAAATTTTAGTTTCTCAAAAGTTAGTAAATTAGTTGGTCCCTCCATTTCATATACCTCATTACTGAAAAATTCAGTGCATTAGAGACGATTGAAAGACTCAATTAACAATTGACAAAGGAAATGTGACATATTAACTTAGAAAACTGAAAAGCTAAGAGCCCAAAATTGTAGTTTTCTAATATCTTAGGAACTTTTAAACTATTACTATTAAAGAAAATCAAATTCATCAGTGTTCTCATTTTGCTGTTAAAGATCAAAATACTAAGATATGAATACACTGTTTGATTAAATTATGTTTCCAACCTGTGATGTGAATATATTCTGCAGGGAATAACAGTTATATGCTCAAAAAGGGGTGGTGATACTTCTACTAGTAGTCATTGTGAGTGGATTCTAACAGTTCCATCAATGCCAGATGCAATCCATTTCAATTTCATTCCCATCACCTCTCTTCTCAAAGGTGTGCCTGGCAAGGGCTTCTTGTCACATGCGATCAACCTCTATCTTCGTTGTAAGTTAATTTTATTACATGTATATGTTAGCTTTTGTATACTATTAATTTAATTCTTTGACATGCATGAATTAGTAATTTATAAAAAAAATGAATTAGTAATTTATAGATTTTGTGGGAATTTTGAGGAAATAGAGAATATTGTGTTGTAATTGAGAAAACTGCATAAATCTTGGGTTGTGTTAAAATTATATATTCAACGACAAAATGAAAATTGGAAATGGATCTTTTTCCACATAGAAGAAAGAAGAAGAGGAGAAGAATACAAATAAAAGTATAAAAGCTTCCACTCCATTGGGCTTGAAGTCATTAGTGAATAACTGGTATGCATGATCTGCAGATAAACCCCCAATTAACGATATGCAGTACTTTCTGGACTTCCAAGCCCACAAAATGTGGGCACCAGTTCACAATGATCTTCCTCTTGGGCCAGCAAGAAACAAGTCTCGACAAAACCCCACTCTGCATTTCAACTTCATGGGCCCTAAGCTCTATGTCAACACCACCAAGGTAATTATTTTTATCTTTTTCTCCTTTTGGTAACTATAAATATTATAAAGATAACTTTTTTATACATTGTCGGTGCATAATTTTATTTGTAATAGCAGATTTAGGTCATGACATATAATATAAATTCAAATTCAAATTCAAATTATGCACATATGGCATATATTCAAAACTGTTGGTATAAAAAAAAAATTATTACGTTGTCAGTGTATAAAAAGTTAATATATATTATAATATATATCCCATGTTCTTGCTATCAAAAGAACAACTGTATGCTAAATAGATTCATTGGTGATTATAATTGTATATGAATTAATGGGACAATTTTTCTGTAGGTTATAGTTGGAAAGAGACCAGTAACGGGAATGCGGTTGTACCTGGAGGGTATGAAATGCAACAGGTATTGCTTGACAATCTCAATATTGGTGAATATATGCACTAATGAATGAAGTTGTATTTAGTAGCCTAGACAAAGATGTTGTATTTAGTTTTTTTTTGTTTTAAAAAAAAAAAAAAAGCAAACTGTGGTCAATTTTAATTTTAGAACTTCACTAAAATAATAGATGGATAAAACATGTAGACTTCAATCATTTTTTTTTAATGGTTATCTGTTTTTCCTACACCAGGAGGACCTTGAAGTCTCTCTTGGGGTGCTGGTTGAGGGATCAAATTCCCTGCCAACATCAAAACCAAGAATTCTTGGCTTCTGGCTTCTCAATTGTGGTTTCTGACAAATAATAATAATAATGGTCATATTTTTTTCCTGGTGAATTAGAAGAAGCAATTTATTACTAATGTTTTAAGTTTTTAGATTCTTTATATCCAAGTTATCAATTACTTAGTGTTTTTTTCGTTATGATTCATTGTACATTATGTCACAAATTCATCTTTTTGTATGCGTTTTTTTGTGCAACAGTTTATTGATTTTCATATTAAACAAAACTATATATACAACTTAATAAACATTAATTTGTATTCTTGCATTTTTAAAAAAAAAAATATTTTTATTTGCATTGATAGGTGATCAATCTTGAAATTATATTAATAAAATTGGCTAGCTTTCTTATTTAACAAAAATTGGACTTTTATCAGGTTAGCAGTACATCTGCAACACTTATCAAATGCTCCAGTATTATTCCAAGACAAGATCAATGACCCTCTAACATGGCGAGGAACAGAAGAAATCCCCGATGATCGATATATGGAAGCAGTTCAATCGAAAAAATTTTCACATATATGCACAGCCCCTGTGAGATATGATCCAAAATGGGCTACAAAAGCAGACGAAGCATTCATTGTTACCGGGGCACAAATCCATGTTAAGAAAGAATCATCAAAAACAGTGCTACATCTTCGACTGTTATACTCAAAGGTCTCAAATTGTTGTGTTGTCCAATCAAATTGGATGCAATGTCCATCGGAAAACTCCATCAAGTGGAGCATTTTCTCAGCCATAAGCACGTCGATTTCCGGTACTTTGGATAAGGAGAAAATGCCCGCCGTTGTGGTGGATTCTGCGGTTTATCCGACAGGGCCGCCGGTGCCAGTGCAAACACAAAAGCTGTTGAAGTTTGTAGATACTTCACAATTGTGTAAAGGGCCTCAGGATAATCCAGGACATTGGCTGGTGACAGGAGCTAAATTGGATTTGGAGAAAGGAAAAATTTGCTTGCATGTCAAGTTCTCCTTGTTGAACTTATGTTCTTGATCAGACCAGGACATGTCCACATATCCAAAGGGATATCCAAATTGACCTAAATTTTGTATATATAGTTTTGTGTTAATATATAGATTTTTGGTAAGATATCTACTATGGTGGAGGTCAGGTCCATTGGTCATACGATCCCAGGAAGTAAAATGCAGAAGACTAATTATGAGGTTTGGACTTGGAGAAACCATAGGCATGACGAGTCCTCTTGTAGATTTTGAATTTTCTGCAGAAGCTATCCCGAAATTGTTTATAGGATCCCTTGGTTTGAATCAGAAATACTTTATTCTTTTTCTTGTGATTTAGTTGAGGTGATTATACATTTTTGTCTAGTGATCTTGATCAGTTGAATTGTTCAAACCTCATCTTGGCTAAGTTTCAATACGAAATTGTAAAATTTAGTTAATAAGTCAAGGGAAAAATCAATGGGTAAGAAGACACTAGATGAAGGCAACATAGTTTCTTTTTCTTTTTAATCTATTTATACCTAAGTGTATCAATTATGAGACTATCATAATGCGAGCGTGAGATGTCCTTTTCTGTACAAAATGTATTTACATGATATGTCAACGCCTTAGCATAAATAGGTAACAATAATTAGTCAGTGTCAGATAAGGAAAAAAATGCGTCATTTTTATTAGTCTCTCCACCTAGTGTGCACTTCATAATGAATTTTAATTCATTAAATTTCCTTTTTACGAGGCATACACAGACGTGACACCTAACTATTTAGTGATAAAACCTGAGTATAAATAAAAAAGACGATTCAGGTTCAGTACCTTATTATTACCAGTAATAGTTCACCTAGTTTGCACGTGATTATATTAATTTAAATATAGCATCTCTTATATAATTTTTTTTGTAAAATTTGATTATTTACCTCATAATAGATTATTTTATATTTTCAATTTCTTTAAGCAATCGTTGTTACAAAGACTATCTAGATTCAAACTCTTTGATCTATTGATTTTTGAATTTATTTTGAGCTTTTTGGTAAATTATGGATTCAACTTTGATAAAAAAAAAAATTTAATATGGTCATGTTTCACCAAAATTGTTGTATACTCATACTATTTTACCATTACATCATAATATTGTATTTTTTAATCGAGGATAAAAGATGTTAAACTAAAAATATATGGACACATGTCAAGTGTGAACTTAGCAAACAGAATTCATAATTATTAGTAAAGTAAAGACTTAAACAATAAAATTAATTTCCAGCGGGGTATTAGAGTAAATGAATTGGCTTGTTAAATTTTGTCATTCTAATTGTTTTTAGCACACTTATCCCTTCCTTTAACCTTCCATAAGCTCATTTACCAACTAGAGTCTAGATGCGCCTTTTTTTACTTGAAAATAATACTCATGAATATGTTTCTAATGAAATCAGTAAATTTTAACAAATAAAAAAAATTTGTATCGACATTTTTAATGTTATTTGCCGTAACATTTTGAATGTTATTTTTTTTTTCTTGCTAAGACAACCAAAGTGCAATTGTATAGTTAGAATGAAGTACTCATTTAAGAGTAAAATATATGAACCGTGCTTATATCCAACTTTGCATGGATATTTAATTATTTTAGTTTATATCTTTCTAGTTGAACTTTTTAATTTTTTATAATTTGAATTGAATAATGTGAAGTGCATTGTTGAATTTGAATTATTTACATTTTTTCTAATAGCTAGTTTGGGAATTTAGGAAAGAAAAGAAAAGAAGAGAAATCTTAAGTTAGAAAAGAAAACAATAGAGTAGAAAAGATTGTAATATCTTTCCTATTATTTGGAAGTTTTTGAGGACAAAGAGAATGATGTAATTTTCCTTTGTTTGGGAGTGAAGAAAAATAGAAAGAAAACATCGTGCTTTACATAAAGGCCCTTAAATCTTGAATTTAAATGAATATTCTATTAGGTTACATAGTTATATTGTAACCTTTTAAGGTAAAATTGGTATATGAAATATTTCACTTGACCCACTTCATTTCTCTCGTTTTCTGCCCCGTTTTGGGCGGATAGCTTTTCTGTCTTGAAAGGGATATGATATTCTTCATTTTCTTTTCAATTCTTTCCCATCCAAAATTCCAAATGTCAGAAAAATTCAACTTCCCTTAGTAATTCTTTCTTTTCTCACCAAATTTGCCCTTCCAAATGAGCTGTAAGTGTTATTTAGGTTAACAAAGAATGTAAATGATTTAGACAGCTCAATTATCTTAGATTGGCTATTTAGTTGTCAACTGAAATTCAATTATTAGAAATAGTTGGATTCTTTTATTTTGGTTTTGTTTTTGTATTTCTTCATATTGATAAACACCACATAATTATGCATATGTCTTGTCATATCCATATCAAGATTCTTCAAATGAATATGGACTCTTTTCTTTTTATCTTTTTTCTTCTATTCTAATAGCATCTGTTTTCTTGATACTCATATTTTTTATGATATTAAAATTGCGGCTAATACAGTTGGTCACACTATTTCGAGTAAGAAATTGCTTTGGATAAGAAACTTTGATGCACAGAAGAATTGAAGATGGAATGCAAGGATTAGTAAATAGTTTTAATAGGGAGTTTTTTTTATTTTAATTACCAACAATATTGAGATCTAATCATTTGGAATGTTTTATATCCTTAATTGCTGCCACAATTAAAATGTAATAACTCTAATTGAAACACGGGAGGATAATATAGACATAATAAAAACTAAGATAAAAAAAAGTGCCTACACTCTATAATGCTACAAATCATGATACTTTTACTTTTAATATAGTAGTATATTAGATATCAATCGAAACATTGTAACAATATCTTTTTGCTGATTTTTATTCCGTTTGTCAACTTTGATGATGTAATAAAAAATCAACGTAGTGTTGGTTCGACCAACTCGCTTACTGGTTAAACCAGTGATTTGTTGATTTATACGGGAGGAGCAAAGCATCCATGTAAATTGATTCATGCAATTTGCCTATATGTGCAGCTTCTGTCAAGAGATGAGGACAGTGCTGGAGAAAATCGGCTGTTTTGGAATTGAAAGAATGGAATCAATGGCTGATCCCAGGTCAAAGAGCTGGTACGAAAGGAATGTGGAAGACATGCTCAGAAGGACCTCTAAAAAAATTCCAGAGATTTTAGGCTACAGGAAAGGGACACAATTACTTGCTGTTTTGCAAAGAAACTGACGGGGAAATATCCATTTTGCATGTGCTTTCATCAAGATTCAAGAATTAGACTTAAGAAGTACAGAATAAAGATTTTTACACATGCGCAAGAAAGGAATATGGGATCCATTTAAATCTATACTAAATCAACATTACTTAATAGTTCTCTAACATGTTCTTGACGATGGTTCATAAAAGTTACTCTGATAGAACTTATTCTTTTCTTGATTTCAATAGACCGAAGAGGGTTGGTTTGTTTTGGAGCAAAGCACAATTCTTTGGTATTTTTACACAAGACTCTATTGTACAAATCAACTTGAGTTATGATTTAGAAAAGCATCTAGAACCGCCCGAAATCAAGATGATGCGCCCCCTGTTGCGTCAGAGATTGATACGAAACTCCTTCCCATAGAAAAGAGATTTTAAAATTTTAAGAGACTCTGTGTATTTCATACAGCACTTCAATGATAGCTCAAGTGTTCTGAGAGCAAGAATTGTCCTGGCTCAAAATCAACCTTCAATCTTGGTTGAAGAAAATGAGTGACAACAGCTGGATAGTTGAGCCGCATGAAAAAAATTGGCGCTGGATAATTGAACTGGATGACAGAGTTATGCATGAAGTTGATATTTATTCGGAGAATGAACGCTGGAAGCGGCTGTCTGTTTATCGATTGCCAGCCTCCATTATTAAGCTGAACAGGAACGCTTACACACCTCAAGTTGTTTCTTTTGGCCCTTGTTACCATGGCCATGCTAATTTAAAGCCAATGGAAGAACACAAGGACAGAGCTCTTCTTCACTTCCTCAGGAGATCCAGGAAACCTATTATGGTTTATGTTCAATGCTTAAATATAGTAGTAGATGATCTACGGGCTGCATATCAATCATTGGATAATCATTGGCGTGAAGATACAGAAAGTTTCCTTCAACTTATGATTCTTGATGGCTGTTTTATGCTAGAGATCTTGAGGATATTCACTCGAAGCATGGAGGGCTATGCTGAAAGCGATCCCATTTTCAGCAATCATGGAATCGTCTACGTCATGCCAGATATTATGCGTGACATGCTCATGATTGAAAATCAGCTGCCCATGCTGGTTCTTCATCGGCTTGTTGCAGCTGAAGGTGCCTCTAATACTCAGGTCTCCTCTCTTGGATTAATTCTACTTTGCACCAACAAACTGTTATCAGTTCTCACTTTACACTCTTTTAACTTATATTTTTGAATAAAATTACACCATAAATTTATCAATTGTTATCACTTCACACCTTACACTATTAATTTGGATAGTGCATACCCTAAAGGAAGCACTAATTTATTCTAAATTACCATAATTTTGCAAAGTATTAGTAACAAAGGTATATAAACAGTACAGGCTTACATCATTTTCCTTCTCATTATTTGCGTTTCTGCGACTTTTATAACATGTTACTGTGTTATCTCAAATCGCTGATTTGAACGAATACGTTAGATTATCATACTCTATATATGCAAGTCTAGCTCTGAGTACATCAACTTTTGAGCAATTGATCTTCATGTTGCATATAGGCAGAGGATTATGTCAACAAGCTGTTGTTTCGCCTCTACAATCTCGACAGTTACAGTCGCCACAAATCCATAGACAAATCCTTGCATGTATTAGATATTTGTCACAGGGTTTTGCTCTTGCCTTCCGATGCCAGTCATCTACGTGGAAAAATATGGCCAAGTTGGGTTCTTGAGAAGACAATTCCATCTGCAACAGAGCTTCACGAAGCAGGAATCCAAATTCAAAGAAGCAGAAGTACAAGTCTCCAGGACATAAGATTCTACAAGGGTGTTTTCTGCGTCACCCTCAAGATTCCTGTAATTGTTGTGGATAATATTACTGAAACATTCTTTCTCAACCTATTGGCTTTCGAGCGTTTACACGTCGGGGCAGGCAGAGAAGTGACTAACTATCTTGCTTTCATGAACAATATCATCCGAGATTCCAAGGACATTAGTCTCCTTCGCTCTTGTGGGATCATCCAAAATTCTCTTGGTAAGGATGAAGTTGTTGCTGATTTATTCAACTCACTAACCAGAGATAATAGCTCAGTTTACGTGGTCGAAAAGAAGGTTATCAAATACTGCAGTAGACCTTGGGTTCGTTGGAGAGCCAATCTT